TCTCGTCTGCCTGAAATGCATGCTTTAGCCTGTTCCATGAAAGTATTGTGTTCCAGCGATTCGACTATGGGTATAGAACGTTTACGTTTAGCCTGTGGTGGTCATGGTTATTTGACATCCTCCAATTTGGGTAATTTATATGTAGCTGCTACAGCCGCTTGTACATATGAGGGGGAAAATACTGTGTTACTATTGCAAGTGGGTAGATTTTTAATGAAATCATATCGTCAAGCTTTGGCGGGTAAGCCCTTATCCCCCACTGTGGCTTATCTAAAGGATTCATTAAACAATCGCGACTTTGACAGGTGGACAGGTTCTTGGCAAAATATGGTGCAAGCTTTACAATTCACAGCAGCCAAGTAAGTCTAGTTTCAAATATTAATTACAAACATTATTAAAAAAATATTCATGAATTTTCTAGTAAAACACGTATTGCCTTTGAAAATTTATCACAACGTTTGAAATCGGGTCAGACGGAGGGTGAGGCTGCTAATAATACCGGCATAGAATATACTCAAGCAGCCGAGGTAAATATATAAAATGTTTAAAAAGTAATTATTTAAAACATGTCTATCTATAGTTGCATGGCCGTTCTTTTGTTATTGCCAGCTTTTTGGAAGAAATCACTGGACCTAATGCCAAATTGCGTAATCCCGCCTTGAACAAAGTTCTGGAAGAACTTTTAGAATTGTATTTGGTTCACACGTCTTTGAGACACATGAATGATATATTGAGAGTAAGCTTTATTCTAACATATTCTCTCTTTTACTATAACTTTTTGTCTCTTTTTAGTTTATAAATATCACCGATGCCGATTTACGCTCTTTACAAGTACGTTTGGAGGACGCCTTAAAAGCTTTAAGACCCAATGCTGTTGCTATTTGTGATGGTTTCGATCATCATGATAATAATTTAAGATCCACCTTGGGCTCGTATGATGGCAATGTTTATGAACGTCTTTTTGAGGCTGCTAAAAAGAGTCCTTTGAATAAGGAACCAGGTACCAAAGTCATTCCATACACATTTGAAACCTTTATGAAATCTAAAATGTAAAACAGAGGATTTAAAACACAATTTAAAAATGTGATTGTATATAAATGTAAAATAAAATTAAACAAAACTCTAAAAGTAGTGGCAAAATATGTTTTTAGAAATCACTAACTCGATAATATCTATTTTTAAAATTCATAGTAAAAAGTTAAAAAAAAGTTTAAGTTCAGTTCTAGTTTAATTCTAAGTCTGATCTAGTTCAATTCCAGTTCAGTTATAGTTAGCTCTAGTTCAGTCTAGTTTAGTTGTAGTATAGATGTAGTTCAGTTCTAGTTCAGTTATAGTTCAGTTCTAGTTCAGTTTCTAGTTCAGTTCTAGTTCAGTTCTAGGTTCAGTTCTAGTTTCAGTTCGAGTTCAGTTCTAGTTCAGTTCTATGTTCAGTTCTAGTGCAGTTCTAGTTCAGTTCTAGTTCAGTTCTAGTTCAGTTCTAGTTCAGTTCTAGTTCAGTTCTAGTTCAGTTCTAGTTCAGTTCTAGTTCAGTTCTAGTTCAGTTCTAGTTCAGTTCTAGTTCAGTTCTAGTTCAGTTCTAGTTCAGTTCTAGTTCAGTTCAGTTCTAGTTCAGTTCTAGTTCAGTTCTAGTTCAGTTCTAGTTCAGTTCTAGTTCAGTTCTATTTCAGTTCTATTTCAGTTCTAGTTCAGTTCAGTTCTAGTTCAGTTCTAGTTGAGTTCTAGTTCAGTTCTAGTTCAGTTCTAGTTCAGTTCTAGTTCAGTTCTAGTTCAGTTCTAGTTCAGTTCTAGTTCAGTTCTAGTTCAGTTCTAGTTCAGTTCTAGTTCAGTTCTAGTTCAGTTCTAGTTCAGTTCTAGTTCAGTTCTAGTTCAGTTCTAGTTCTGTTCTAGTTCTGTTCTAGTTCTGTTCTAGTTCTGTTCTAGTTCTGTTCTAGTTCAGTTCTAGTTCAGTTCTAGTTCAGTTCTAGTTCAGTTCTAGTTCGGTTCTAGTTCAGTTCTAGTTCAGTTCTAGTTCAGTTCTAGTTCAGTTCTAGTTCAGTTCTAGTTCAGTTCTAGTTCAGTTCTAGTTCAGTTCTAGTTCTGTTCTAGTTCTGTTCTAGTTCTGTTATAGTTCTGTTCTAGTTCTGTTCTAGTTCTGTTCTAGTTCTGTTCTAGTTCTGTTCTAGTTCTGTTTAGTTCTGTTTTAGTTCGTTCTAGTTATGTTCTAGTTCTGTTCTAGTTCTGTTCTAGTTCTGTTCTAGTTCTGTTTCTAGTTCTGTTCTAGTTCTGTTCTAGTTCTGTTCTAGTTCTGTTCTAGTTCTGTTCTAGTTCTGTTCTAGTTCTGTTCTAGTTCTGTTCTAGTTCTGTTCTAGTTCTGTTCTAGTTCTGTTCTAGTTCTGTTCTAGTTCTGTCTGTTCTAGTTCTGTTCTAGTTCTGTTTCTAGTTCTGTTCTGTTCTAGTTCTGTTCTAGTTCTGTTCTAGTTCTGTTCTAGTTCTGTTCTAGTTCTGTTCTAGTTATGTTCTAGTTCTGTTCTAGTTCTGTTATAGTTCTGTTCTAGTTCTGTTCTAGTTCTGTTCTAGTTCTGTTCTAGTTCTGTTCTAGTTCTGTTCTAGTTCTGTTCTAGTTCTGTTCTAGTTCTGTTCTAGTTCTGTTCTAGTTCTGTTCTAGTTCTGTTCTAGTTCTGTTATAGTGCTGTTATAGTTCTGTTATAGTTAAGTTCTTTTTACTTATCATCTTACGAAACAACTATGTACTTAGGAGAGACAAACTTATTTACAAAACCATCTTTATTAAATTCGCTTCGATTTTCACTTTTTGTTTTTATTATTTTTAAAACCGGTCTTTTTATTCATGAAAATATCGGTCAAGATTTAAAAAAAAAACTCTCTTTTAAAGAGAAATTTCTTTTTAAAGAGTATCACTAATTCAATGTTATTATTTACAATTAAACAATATTTTGTTATGATAACAAAGTTTTGTGCACAGTCATACGAGTACTGTGGTTGGGATTGAAACAAAATTTGAGAGAAATACAATTGGACTTTGACACACAAAATACAAGCCCCCTCTAATTGAAGTTTAAACTGTAATAAAACATTTTTGTTTGAATCAAATATTGCTAACCATTAACAGACTTCAAGACAAAGCTGAGGGGTTGTCAAAAAGTAAACTATATTTTAAAAATTAAATATTTATTTTAAAATTTATTATAAAGACTCTTAAAAACACAGTGCTTAAAGTGTGTAGCTAAAATTTTGAGATAAACAAACAAAAATGTCCAAAAAGCACATAAAAGCTTTTTCTTTAGAAGAGCTGTAATTAGTTGACTATTTGAAATCGCGAAGAGAAGAAGTGTTTATTAAAATAAAATTAATAAAAATATTTGTTTTCAAATTTACTTTTACTTAATAATATCATTTGATTAACAAAAAAATTAATTTGTTTTTAAAAAATGACCACAGAAATATCGATTGTTCCCAAAACTATAAATCCCGACATTGCCAAAGAACGTCAGAATGCCACAGTTAATAGTGAAGAAATTGCTCAATGGTTTATGGCGGTGCTGAAAATTAAAAACAAAACGTGAACTTGGTAAATATGTAGTACATAATTCAAAAACAAAATGTAAAACAAATATTAATGCATTTAATTAATAATTTTGTAATAAAGTTCAAAATTATGAATAGGTACTAAAATATATATAGAAAATTCGACCTTTGATTCGACTGGTGTGACAAAAAAAAAAAAACTTATCAGAATTATTTGTTTGATTCGTCGGCCTTTTTCCGTAATTAACCGCAGTTAATAATATACATAATTATTATTTATATTTTTATTGAAACTTGTTAGATATCGTGTTGCAGTCAGTAAAGTCCCCTTATCAGATACATAGCGTTATTAATTTTTGTGAACATTATTGTAAAACTACTTATGTACTGAAATTTCTAATCGTCATTGTTAGACTGTTATTTTAAAATGTATATATAGATAGATAGATAGATAGATAGATAGATAGATAGATAGATCGATAGATAGCTAGCTAGATCGATCGATAGCTCGCTCGCTCGATAGCTCGCTCGATAGATAGCTCGCTCGATCGCTCGCTCGCTCGATCCTCGCTCGCTCGCTCGCTCGCTCGCTCGCTCGCTCGCTCGATCGATCGCTCGCTCGCTCGCTCCTCATCGCTCGCTCCTCGCTCGCTCGCTCGCTCGCTCGCTCGCTAGCTCGCTCTCGCTCGCTCGCTCGCTCGCTCGCTCGCTCTCTCGCTCGCTCGCTCGCTCGCTCGCTCGCTCGCTCGCTCGCTCGCTCGCTCGCTCGCTCGCTCGCTCGCTGCTCGCTCGCTCGCTACGCTCGCTCCTGCTCGCTCGCTCGCTCGCTCGCTCGCTCGCTCGCTCGCTCGCTCGCTCGCTCGCTCGCTCGCTGCTCTCTCGCTCGCTCGCTCGCTCGCTCGCTCGCTCGCTCGCTCGCTCGCTCGCTCGCTCGCTCGCTCGCTCGCTCGCTCGCTCGCTCGCTCGCTCGCTCGCTCGCTGCTCGCTCGCTCCGCTCGCTCGCTCGCTCGCTCGCTCGCTCGCTCGCTCGCTCGCTCGCTCGCTCGCTCGCTCGCCCCGCTTCGCTAGCCTCGCTCGCTCGCTCGCTCGCTCGCTCGCTCGCTCGCTCGCTCGCTCGCTCGCTCGCTCGCCTCGCTCGCTCGCTCGCTCGCTCCGCTCGCTCGCTCGCTCGCTCGCTCGCCTCGCTCGCTCGCTCGCTCCGCTCGCTCGCTCGCTCGCTCGCTCGCTCGCTCGCTCGCTCGCTCGCTCGCTCGCTCGCTCGCGCTCGCTCGCTCCGCTCGCTCGCTCCTCGCTCGCTCGCTCGCTCGCTCGCTCGCTCGCTCGCTCGCTCGCTCGCTCGCTCGCTCCTCGCTCGCTCGCTCGTTCTCTCTATCCCCTGCTCTTCCGGCTTTCGCTCCCGCTCTCCCGCCTTTTTCGCTCCCCTCATCCCTTTCTCTCCCTCCCCTTCCTTTACCCCATTATCTACTGCCGAACCA